GAGGGGCAATTAGGACCATGTCTCCTGATTGGTAGGAGCAAGGTAATGCGGGAAAAGGTGAAGGTAAAAAGTGAGTCAGCATGTTGCCATAATAAAGTCCTTAAGTAATTTAAACAGCTTACTAAAAGAGATGGTGGAAGGGCAGATGCTTCAGGTTTTAGTCCCGGAAGTAGGAAAGGGCATCCATACATTAGTTTAAAAGGAGAAATTTGGAGAGGCGCTTTAGGCAAAGATCTGAGGCGTGACAAAGCAAAGGGGAGAAGCGACACCCAGTCAGCATGAAGTTCTAGGGTTAACTTAGTAAGGACAGCTTTAATTGACCTGTTAGTTCATTCTACCTTCCCTGAAGATTGAGGGTGAAGGGGGATGTGGAGGTGCCAAGAAATTCCCAATAATTTAGGAAGTCCTTGAATTATGTGGGAAGTGAATTCGGGGCTTTGTCTGACTGGAGGGAATTTGGGAGCCCAAAGCAGGGAATAATTTCCTTGAAAAGGAAAGCAGAGACTGTGGAGGTTTGCGTGTTTGTGGTAGGAAAAGCTTCAACCCACCCAGAAAAGGTGTCAACTAGAATTAAAAGATATTTGCACCTTTTAACTTTGGGCATGTGGGTGAAGTGTATTTGCCAATCCAGGCCGGGTAGTAGACCCCTGGCTTGGTGTGTAGGGAAAGGGTTGGGTTTAGAAGATGGATTTGTGTTTTGGCAAATTTTGCAGGTGGAGGAAAGATGTTGTAAAAATTGCTTGTCACATAGAGAGAGAGTGACTAATGGTTCTAAAAAGGTAAATAATGTCCTAGAGTTTGGGTGAAAGTTTTTGTGAAGGTACATAAATCCTGGAGATATTCTGCTAGGCCTAAAAAAGAGGAGCTCTTGTTTATTAACCTTGAACTAGGTGGTAGGCCCCATTGGGTTTTTTTGACTTCCAGGATGGGAGCATTGTAGGGGGGATTAGTTGGCTTTAGAAATCCTTTTTTAAGTAATTCTTTAACAATTGGTTGTAATTCCAAAAGATTAGACTGTGGGAGAGGGTATTGTGCTTGGGCTGGGAAATGGGTGGGGTTTTTGAGGAGGATTTTGACTGGAGGTAATTTGCCTATTGAAGGGGAATGAATGTCCCAAACTTTAGGATTCACAAGGTGAGGACTAATGGGCCACTGGGAAGGAGGGGCTTGGGGTTCAATAGCCTGCAACAGTAAGAGGCAAAAAGGAAGATGTTGGAGTGCTGGTTGTTGTTGTTGTTGTCAGGTGCCATCGAGTCAGAACCGACTCATAGCGACCCCATGCACAGCAGAACAAAACAATGTCTGATCCTGGGCCAAC